TCATTTAGGTTTTAATTACTTATTTAATTATTTCTGTATTCCGCAATTTCTATTTCGGTACTATTTATAAGGGAAAGATCTGATTATATGTTTGCAACCAATAAACTCCAAAACTTCTAGACCGATTTCGAAAATTCTTATACTTACGAGAAGCTGCATTATATGAGCTTGACATAGGCTCGCGAAGTCACGGAAAAACAACTAGTTAGTAAATAAATAGATATGAAAAAATAATCAAGCGAAGTCGCGGAAAAACAACTAGTTAGGTAACAAAAAGATATGAAAAAATAATAAATAAAATATTAGTTGAAGCACTGGAAATTAACAAATCAATTTTGATTCCCTTGGGAGTGTCAAAATGTTTTTACGTCGTAAAAGTCTGTTCACATTGTTAATTAACAAGTTTTTTTGTTTTACAGACAGACTGACGACACACAAATAAGGGATTCGTTTTTTTTTCGTTTTGAGGTAAGGAATTATAATTTTTTTTTTTAACCTGGTACATATGGGATTCAATATCATTAACCACATGTCGACACTCGGAACAAAGTGAATTTCCAATCATTCAACTTTCACAACTTCCAACTGGAGGCTTTTAACATTGAAGGTATTTTCGGTGAACGCGATGTCATATCTAAAATATTGACAGGCTTTCTCCTAACATCAAACTTATGATTCATAAAACCACAGAAAACAAATAAAAATAAACAGATTTTCATTAAATAATATTAAAATTAATATATTTATTGTTTAAATCCATAAAAAGTGCATAAATGTATAGTAACAGGTATTGCTATGAGTAAGGCGGCACTAGGATAACGAATGCTTACTTCGATAGCCTACTTCTCTCGCTATAAACATATGTGTATTTCCTCGTCTCCGATTTCATTAGCGCCACAAGCTTTTCAAGTCAATTACTGTTAGAAAATTTTGATTATAATTACTTTAAATGTTTATAATTTATTTACATTTTGGAGTGCACGAATAAGTAGCTCGGTGGCGTAGAGGATAAGCGCTGCGGCCCGCAATCGTTGTTGTTAAGCAACTTTCGCAAGCGTTGGTAACGGGATGGGTGACCGAAAAATTATTATCTTGAGCTACTTCGTGCTTCGGAAGGCACGTTAAGCCGTTGTTCCCGGCTGCATTTGCAGTTTGCCGCATTGGGCCTACGTGGAGGGTCATGGCCCATCCTCGTTAAACATCCATAAGGAAGGCCTGAACCCCTGCAGTGAGGACGTAAAAGGGCTGATGATGATGATGATGTGCACAAATAAACGTTTATTTGCAGAATTCTTTTTTTATTTAATATTCTATTTTAATTTAGTCAAACTTAATAAAATTCAGAGCAGACACTAACACACTATTTTACCGCTTACTTTAATATTTTAAAATGGAATTAGTTAATTTTAGCGGTACATGTATACTTTTTCTACAGAAAAAAAAAATATGAATTCACACTTTGACTGTCACTAGTCTTTATATACAAATATCCTGTTTATTCATCAGTTGGTCTTCGTAATATTTTTATCACAAACATCTGAAGCAATTCAGCCAATTCTCAAACGAGATTATGTGTGATGTGACGTCAGATAAAATATGATTATGTCAGTTCATAACTGCTCCGATTTAAGATTCTGTTTGCTCATATTTTATAAAAATGTGATAAATCGTGGCCTTAACGCATTACCTTGTTATCTAAAAATATACACCAGTTACCTTGACCTTATTTATTACATATATATACGATAAAATGAAGGTATATTATTACGAGTAAATTAAATTTGAACTTCAGCCCTATATAAAAGTTACGTGGTATTTTTACATTTACATTGAAATACGTTCGGTATATACTATGTTGTTGTTATGGTTGTTGTATGTTGCTTAATGGAGCTTGGTCAAAAAAGTTAACGGAATCTGTATTTTTATGAAGATTGAATAAGGTTTTCTATAAAAATTCAACGCCGAACGCAACTTTAAATAACGCTGTCCATGCACAGAGGTTCTATTTTTTTTTGTTTTTTTTTATACTTTGTAGGTTAACGCTTGACTACGATCCCAACTGATGGTAAGTGGTGATGAAGCCTTGGGTGGTATAGCGCATTAACCTAGTAACAGCCTATTCACTCTATCTATCGAATAAAACCTTTAAATTACCTTATTAAGTAACTAAATCTTCTAATTCATAGAAGCGGCTCTACTATTTTTTATTCAAACGAACACACTCAATACTGTATTGTTAGATACTGTGTGAATGAATAGTCTTAAACGTTGAGTGTATTTTGATAGAATCAAATGGCAAATAAAATGATGCATATGTATATTATTTAGAAGCTGTTCCCCGTGACTTCTTCCACGTAAACTATAGCGTATGACACCCGCGTATGATGTAACTTTCCTTAGGTGAAAGAATTTTATAAATCAGTCCAGTTTCAGTGTCTATACCATACAAACAAATAAAGTTTTGTATTGTACTCTAACTAACTTGCGTAAAGTACTACTATTATATTATAAGATAAATTAACATCGGATTACGAGATAAATTCTTTTGGTGTAACATCATTAGGCGTCGATTCAACGATTCTATCAAAATTAGGTCATGCCTCATACGAGTATCAATATCGCGGGAAATATTATCCGTTAATGCCATCACATCAATATCACGTAGCCTTTAGGGAATATCGATTGAGGAATCGAGTGTTTGATATCAAAAATAACTCAGCCTAAAGGATTTATAATTTTCAAACTCTACCAAAGGAATTCTGTCTGTATGTTGATTACTTCATAGGTGATCCGCTGAATTGGGTGTGATGCAATTCGATATAATGATAGTTTCAGGCTAGATAAAAGCTATTGACTTAAGTCCTTTTTCAAAATTATATTCGGAATCTTCAGAACCACTGTGGCAAATTGGATGACTGTTTTTTATAACGGTTTTTATAAAAAGATATTTTTCGAAATATTGCACAGAAGAACGTAAGAAGCAGCATATTTATGGCGACATTGCTGTATATATAACCGTAAAAATACTATAACCGTAATTATATTGTTAACTATTATAAACTACTGCTTACAATATAACTTATTACTTTTTTAATAAATTGTTGTCTATCGATATCGAACTGTCAAATAATAAAACGGTATGTAACGGAACGAACCTCATGCGTTCATTAATTTGACTTTTTTTAATTTATTTTTTCACTTATTTTTGTTCACTTATTTTTTTGATAACGCAAGGGAAATTAACCTTAAGCTTCCCTACTCAATTGTCGTTTAAGCTCCACCTGTTTGGATAATCATACCTATATTAATTTTTATACTGCTACAATATTGTATATCTATTAAAAGTTTGATATATTTAGGGCTCTCTAACCACGCCGATCTGAAAAGAGCAGGTTATAAGTGAAATGTACCCTGTGCCGCCATATTTGAGACTCGAATCATCCGCGAGTAGAATGTAAACAAAAAAAACATTGTTTTGGCAATTTTAAATTGATTTTAGGTTGAAAACAAATTGAAGTTTTATAGATATATAATATTTTAGCTGAATTAAAATGATTATATGATTATCCAAAGAAGTGAAGCTTAAACGATAGTTAAGTCGCTAAATACCAAACATAATTACCAATTGACTTAGATAAATTATTATTCTATCAAAAACTAATGCGGTAAATTGTAAGTGGCACAGTTGCTTTTCCCGATTTTTTGACAGTTTATGATTTCGTGAGATAGATTATAATTTAGCTGTGTTAAACATGCTATAAAAGAGGTTGTCATTAACATAACATCTGTCAGTATTGATAGATTGACATTGATTTATTCAAATATCTTGTGTTGTGTGCTTCGTGCTGTTCTTTTCAATAAGATTCCTTAATTTATTCCTTTAAATCAAGTAAGCCACCAGTGCATAGCCGGAATGTGCAACTGGTTAGTTATACATAAAAAATACGTCTCTCACGATAGGTTTACGTTAATGTATTGTAACTAACAGTAGGTACGCTCTTTTCTTACCATATTTTTTCAGCGTCTTCCATAATTATACATTTACACAAAACAGTAAAAAATAAATTAACACTTTCCTACAATATTCCTTAATGCAAATATGAACTGAAAAAAAAAAATCCAAGCATATGTGGCATGGTTATGATATTTTAACAAAGGTATAAAAGATTTTTGTTCATAATGCAATCGACGTAACTAAGATGGTAAAATAGTTAATGACTGTGTTTTCTTATTGATCTTAAAGTTACACATGAGTAGGCATATAAAACAAAGAATTAAAGAGGCGAAATCGCAGAGGCAGCAATGGAGTCGAAGATTTATTATTATAAACCTTGGCCACATGGTAACCATTCTAGTTTGAAATCGTAGCGAAATTAATATAATTTTTAATAATAATCACATTCATTTAAAATAAAACTCGTGGAATATTTGAAAAAAATACGCTTAGAAAAAAAGTAATTCCAAATTCAAATATAATTTCTTTTAATTTTGATTTCATCTTTAAAATGACTACCACGTCAAGTACGCCCATAAGCAAACAAAGAATATCTCTGAACAAGCCTTTGCTGTGAAAACAATTCTTTGTATTCATTAATTTTTTTTTTTACCGCTATGTATTTAAATATTACAACAAATTCAATAAGATAACAACACATGTAACAAAAAAAAAATTACGAAAGCAATTCAATGAATTAAAACGTTTCACGTCTGACGATTTTCGGACACAAAGCAATTTGCAATGAAATAGCAAACGAGTCCCGTATCTGACACAGGCCATTACACAAATGAAAACGAAATTAAAACAGCACAGCGGCATCAATGTTTCAGCCTTTAAACCTTTTATGGAGGGAAATCACCGACGCCATGACAGTTACTGGCCCCGCTTCAATTTTTAATGGCCGCGACAGGTGGTATTTCCCTACTCTGTGTTTAGCGATAAATAACCTTCCGATAAGTTACATCAATTGTTTTTATTTTAATGAAAAATATTTTTTACTCACCCCAGTGTTGTCATTGTCACGATCGTGTACCAAAAAGCAGCAGGAATGGATGTGAAGTTCGTGTCTTGTTCGTTCTTTTCAGCGTAGAACATGACGGTCGCGAATATAATAATAGCCATCGCCAATGAAAAGACAAGGAAGCCCAATTCGCTCGCGCACGATTTCAACGTGTATCCTAAGATTCTTAGGCCTTGGGAGTGCCGGGAGAACTTGAAGATACGGAACACTCTGAACACTCGTAGCGTCACGAACGCGCCGGAGACGTCGTCGTTATCGGTGATGCCCAAACCGATGTAGTATGGTAGGATGGCTACCACGTCAATGATAGACATCACGGACCGCACGAATTTGCAGCGGTCCGGAGCCGCGAATAACCGCAGCAGATATTCAGCTGTGAATATCATCACGCAAGCTGTGTCTAGGCAGAAGAATACTATTTTATAGCGCTCGCCGCATGGCAGCGTCCCTGCACGTCCAGGCCGATGCCCGCACGGCACCGTCTCTACAACGTTTGCCATGACAGAAACGGCAATGAAAAATCCAGTCACATAATAAAATACTAAGGCGGCAGTCGAGGTGTGGGGATTCTCGAAAGCCCTCCACATCTTTTGTCGCAAATCTGTGAGCTGAGGCAGGCTCTGATCGCCAGCCTCACTGAGCTTATCGTCCATAAGGCGTTCAGCATTTTCCCGTTTTCTATCCCTGTAGTCTTCATAGCAACAATCACCGATCACGTCCGGCAATATGCCGAAGAAAGCTAACTCCTCATCATAACCAGTCAAACACTCGTGTTTTGGATAATGCAATTTCCCGGTTCTGTAGTAATTGAGTATGTGCCTAAAGATATCAGGGTCTCTGTCAAAAAAGTACTCTCTGCTATCCTCGTCGTAGAAGAACTCCCTTTCGGTGGATCCGAGGAGGGAGTCCGGGTACTTCTCCAATGTGTTCCGCCATGTTTCGAACCGTCGTCCGGATACGTTGATGAGGAGTTTCTCGTCTTCGGCTCTCCTACGATCTTTGGGGACAGGTGGGGGTGGGAGCGGGTGGGTGGCGATGGGCACCCATCCGATAGCTGCCGCGCGGGCGAACGGCAGCCAGGCGGCGACCGACGCCATAGCGTTGCGACGCGGGGCCGTCGCCGCAGCTACTGCCCCCCGCGTGCTGTATTTCGGGCACCTAGACAGGCGGTGTTGCCAGTGCGTGACTGAAATAGCCCAGTTATCGATGCGCTATAAATAAATTTCGTACTAGTTCAATTTGAAATGGTGCACCTATGTTTTACGATGCGTTTTTAATTGATTGTTCTGTACTACTTTGGCTTTTAATGTTTTTCTATTAAATCAGTTATAATGTTTTAAAATATACTTTTTTATTATTGATTTGCATGGGAATTGCATATTACTGTTGACATGTTCAAAATTCAATTGGCACGTAACAAGAGTACATATTTGTTTTGATTTAACTTTAAAATATTTAGTACAACTTTAGCACAAGTATCAAATGCCAAATCCAAAGGTCGACTAAAAATTATTCTTATTATATGTATTTGAATAATTTAGCATTCATAATGCTTGCTATATTTATATTAATGGTGGACTTTTAAGCATTTGTTTTTAAGGTAAATTCATCTTTATTTCATTCAAATTACCCTGTACTTGGGAAAAGTTCATCACTTCGAGCAACCCTATCCCGGGAACGAACGCAGAACGCATGCGCGGTTCGTGACGTCACCGTCTAATAAATTGATTTTCATCTGCCCATCTCATTCTTGATCCGAACATTTTCTAGCGCGCCATCTCTCCCGCACACATTAGGCTGTACTGACCTTTTGTATATTTTTCACTGCTCCAAAGAGTTTTTAAAAGCCTTTTGTCTTTAGGAAGTGAAAGACATGAATGTAGCCTTAGGCTTCTTTTATTTTTTAAACAGACTTTTTTGGTCCCGAGCGTTTGTGTAAATAGTTCTTTGAATAGTTCGTCTTGGAGGCGCGATCTTTTTAGGCATATCGTGTTGAGCTTTTTCGGTATTGTAAAACATAGAAGACTTTATTTAATTAAGTAAAAAATGGCGACTGTCATTAATAACCCAGATTGATATTGGACGTGGGAGCAACGTGGGATTCCCAAATGAGTTTGGAATGAGATGTATCATCAAAGGTTTAAATATGAAATGACAATCTCTAATAACTGATATAAACCTTGAAATTTTAATTATTAGTTAAATTTTACATTCTGTACTTCTTTTATCCTACGCTATAAATAATATTATAAAGGTGAAATCTCTGAAACTACTGCACCGATTTTAAATTTTTTTTTCATCTAAGGAGAGCTACGTCATCATAGGGTATAGTTTATGCGGACGGAATCAGGGGCGAAAAAAGCTAGTTTTTGGTATAAGTTTACAGCGAGTGGTTTGAAAACTATTTAATGAACTTTCTTATTACTACATTTGACATATCCTACAATTGCTTTTCATAATAATTTTTAATTTCAACGCATTTAAAAGAAAACCCATAAAGGATCTTTTTTACCGGTTGTTATAATGCCCTTATGTGGCATGCAGGATATGTATGTAACTATAGATTTTTTGTCTTATGTAGGTAACTCATTCCATAGGGCACTTTTTTTTCATGCCTTTTTGTATGCTGGGAAATGCATTAGGTACTGCATACCCCGGGTCGCCAGCGCGGCTAACCGGGGTTATGTGGGGCTCCCCCCTGCGGACCCGCCCCAGAATGGGGCTAGTCAAAGAGCAGGGGTATACCCACTAAAACCCAGCGATGTCTCTCACATGGAAGGCGATGCACTGGATCAGCCCGAAGGCCATACACCGCGCGGTTCGCCTCCAATTCGGCCCGCCCTGAAAAGGGCAGGTCCCGCCACGGGTACACTTTCTCGTGCCTCATTTACATTAGTTAACGCGGTCAGCACACAGAATGCGAACAACCTCTTGACCGTTGGGTCAATATTACAATGACCGACAAATAATATTGACCATTAGTTCAATATTAAAATTAAAGAATGAAACAAAAATCACAGCGCAGATGTGCTGCTACCACAATATATCAAAATTTCGCTTTACAATAATTTTGAACTCTATCAACGCAATGAAAAAAATATTCCTGTATTATAGGATTATAGCCTATGACACCAGCGTATAATGTAGTTTCCCATAAGTGAAATTTTTTTCCCCTACAAACAAACAAACAAAAGAAAATGAAACTTTTTAGAAAATTTCTCTTCGAGTTTTAAGAGTCAAAACTTAAGCTAATAATATTATACTCGGATTAGACTCTTCGTTTTAACACTGTATATACCGATCGACTTAGAATTTTCAAGACCCATTAATATTTCAAAGGGATTCTAGTTTGGCCAACAACATTATAATCCGTCTTCCACGCAAGTTGAGCGCGGTTTGATGCTTTCAGATCTAAGATTAGAAGGGTTGACTGAGATTTATTAATCTGCCTATAGAATTTGCAGTATAAATTATAAGATGAATTACATTCAATGCCTAATACAAATTGTTAAGTTAAATTGAGAATGAATACAGAAATTAAATGAAAATAAATAAATATTACACAACATCACATACATTGCTCAGATTCCAAGATGAGTAGTATAATGGAGTATCTGAGGCAACAAAAGTACCACAAAACTCAGACCCGATACAATAGAGAAAAGTGCATTTTCTACATTGACCCGACCGCGAATCGAACCTCACAGATGGTGACACCATGAAACCGGCGTGCGAACCACTCCGCTACACAGGTCGTAAAAGTTACGTAACAATGTTTGTTTTTGTTTGTCACTGAAACAGAGCGGTTTTGTTACACGGAGATTGTAGGTATAATAGTTTCAATAAAAATCTTTTAATAAATACAATATATATAGCTTAGTTTTTAGATATGTCGTATGTTTAAAATGCTATGGAACCTATAAAGATTATGTAACGTCAAATAATGAGATACTTCATCAGCCCTGTTACGTCCCCAGGCCTACCTTATGGATGGTTAAAGCGGATTGGCGGGTATTAACAACTGCAAACGCAGCCGGGACCAACGGCTTAACGTGCCTTCCGAAGCACGAAGTAGCTCGAGATGATATTTTATTTTTGGTCACCCATCCCGTGACCGACCCTTGCAAAAGTTGCTTAACAACAACGATCGCGTTCCGCGGCGCTTATCCACTACGCCACCGAGCTACTCAATGAAATCTATACTAATATAAATAGTGTTAAAGTTTCTAACTTTATTAATTTATTTATATAAACTTCATTGTCAAAACACTATAAAAATTTATAAAACAATACAAACATAAAAATCCTAATTGTACAGTAGGCGGCCTTATCTCTTAACAGCGATTTCATGAAGGCAATCTAAATTGTGAGAAGAAATCATATACATAGTAATAAAAGAGTTTTGTCTGTCCTTGCAAATACTGATCCAATCATGAAAAATATTTCATCTACAGGAAGTCATATGCGGATGACATAGGCTATAAATTTCGTGGGCAAAGTCACGGGAAGACAACTAGTGACACATACACTTTTAGACCCCTTTTAATATATGTTTTTAGCCAAATATTTACGACAAGGCAAGAGAGTTAACGCGCAAGTACGTACATTATAAGATCTATATAGGTACAATTTTTCCTTTTTTCCTACATATTTCTCCTTTTTTCTTATTACAAATAAAAACAATCTTTAAAAATTTAGTCGCTTTGTACGATATCTACGGAACGGGGGGAGGGGGTGGCTGCCGGTATACACACGGTAAAGTATTCCCGGTGTTCCCTCGCGCATGAAGGGTTTCTTTCCATTATCTATAAATAGGAGCTCCTTTAAAAATCTATTTTATTCACGTATTAGTATTTATTATTATTTCGGCATCGGAAATACATCATCTGTGAGAATTTCAACTGTCTTGCTTTAACTATTCATGAGATAGAGACTGGTGACAGATTAACAGACGGACGGACAGCGGAGTCTTAATAAAGCGTCCCGTTTGGGTACGTAACTCTAAAAATAACATTCAAAACATTTTCTTCAAAATAATCTTTCCATTTTCTTCCGTTCGCGCGCGTTATCTTGATTAAAATAAGAGCGGTTTCAGACTAGCGTTTTATACGCACGTATAGGCTCGTTTTTGGAAATGCATGTAGGCGCGTATAAGCGCGCCTTATGGCACACGCGTAACTCAAACGAGCTTGGACGCGCTTTAAGCTCGTATAAGAGCAAGCCGCGAAAGACATCTCTCCACGCACCCTCCCCCTCTGCCATAGACCCCGAGAGCCCAGCATCTTTTTCGTCTTCCCAGTGGACAGCGATTACGTAACGCAAACAGCAATGTTTCTTCGTCAGAATCCATGTTGATACTGACACGACACCACTACCGATTCGAAAACGAAAACGCGGAAATATTCCTGTTTACGCGAGTCTGGTTTTTGAAACGCGTAATGTAGCACATGTTTAAGCGCGTATGCTGAAACGAACGTTTGCGCACAGAAAATTACGCTAATCTGAAACCGCCCTAAGACTTGTTGTGGCGTACAATTGAGATATCTTATTATTATCTTCGATCAATTTTGCATTTATACTGAAAAATATTCTTAATGAAAAATCCTTAAAAAATCCTTTCTGTCCCATCTCAGAGTGCCAGGGACAAAGTGGATTGCATAAGCAATTTTCATTGTGATATCTCGTCCTTTTTTTCTCGGTCATCTCCAAGGTCCCGAATACGATTTCCGGTCGGGTTAATGTAGAAAGTGGACTTTTCTGTATCGGCCCGGATCTTGGGTGATGTGATGTCTTCATTTTTAAGATTTCCTTAGTACAACTGCTTTAGTTACTTAGGATGTGACACCCCTTCCCAGTTTTCAATTGAGCTAAAATTTAGTATACACATAAATTTAGCATACTTATATAATTTGAGCGACAATTCAACATTGTAGACGTACAATCTATAGATTGGGTTCGTTTGATTTGTCTATACAAAATCTATGGTTCAACGAAAGCTTGTTTTCAAAAGAAAAAATTTATTTTGTTTTATTATAATATGAATAGTTATTACAAATTACGATTCTAAAGTCACTGAAACATATATGGAAGCTAGTATTATGTAAATATAGATAAAAAATATTAATATT